TTTCTCATCTGAAAGGCAGTATCTCCATTCTGTGTCCCCAAATCATGTAAAACCACCTAGGGCTGAAAATCCCTTAAACAACCAACATGACATAAATATGAACTAACCCAGATTATGAAGGATAAATATTATGTCTGGGAAGACATCCATCCATAGCAAGAGCAAACGCATGAATTTCACTTTATAAAAGCATTGGGAAGCGTACTATTTAGAAACTGGGCAGGGTTAAAGTTGCCAGGGAGGTCAACATAAACAACAAATGCCACCAAGAAATGAAACCCTTTCCTGGCAGGCCACAGAACACATGGCCTCTTAGGACTGGAATGGCACTCTAACTCAGGAGCCAGGGTCGATGGTGCCCTGGAAAAGAGACTGTCCCAGTGATGACAGACACCCACACATTGTACACTCCCCTGCCCCCCCAGAAAAGCCTGGACTGGCAGTCTGAACGGGACCTACTTTTGTAACTAGACTAACCAGGCCCTGGCAAAAACCAAAGGCCAGACAACATCTGTTTCATTTTCTTGTTTGTTTCTTTCTTTCTTCATTTTCTGGGTCTACTGTGTAAAACATAGTACTGGTTTGGGCTTCCATGTTCAACACAAAAGCCATTTAGAGATTCTCTTGGCCTTGCATTCCTGAATCTCCAGAAAGCCTGAAAACTGCTGGCTCTAGAAACTGAAATTAAACACCAAAAATGTTCAGACATGAGCATTTTCCTCACCTCTGGGGAAAAGACTTCCAAATAATTTTCGTAATTATCAATGACATTTCCAGAAGATCAAACATCACAGTGCTAAGATACCATAGAAGAAAACGTACGGTAGATTCGTTTCCTCCATTTACAAAGTGGCAGATGCCAGAGTTTGGTAGATCTCGTTTTTGGTTCTAAAATAAAATCAGTAAAGCTGTGTTCATGGATAGATCAGTTCCTTTCCAAATGATTAAACATGCCAACAGAGGCAAAGGGTCAAACTGTTTACAGATGTCACTGCTGAAATTTCTTCAATGTCATGACATATTTTCTTGGAATTGAACATATAACTCTAGGTGTACATTGACATAAACTGCTAAACTAATTAACTTCGCCGAAGAGAATTCCTTTTGACCTCAAACTTGGATTTTCTGCAGGTGACTCATAGTCCTAGGCCACGTGATGAAAATGTTCATTGTTAAGAAGAACTATCTACCTGTGTACTCTCCTAATCTCTGTAGGCCTGGGGTCTTCTCTGAGCTCTCTACCCCTCTCATCTCCTGGGAGTGGCTATCTCCTGCTTTGTAAAGACATGGTTAATTTACATGAAGATACAGAATCAGAGAAAGAAACATTCCAAGAGGGAGACAAGATTTACAGAGGAATGGAGAGAGAGGAAAAGGAGGAAGGTTCAAGCTGCTAAGGCCTTGTCCAATATTTTGAGGGGCCAGTATAGTAAGCAGGGCCTTGAAAGCCGGACAGGCAGGTTTTCCCAGTTATGGGCTAAACCCAAGTTAGGAGCTGTGATCCTGGACATCAGCCAGTGCCCAGAGAGATCAGTTCCATGGAAGAGAGGAAAATCCTTTTATATGCCACATCTGCCACCCTTCTACCAGGTTGATGAGGGCCAGCATCTAGGACGTCTCTTCCTGCCTTTCATTTTGCACTAAGCATTGGCCCCTTTAGGAAACCCATGCCTAGAGAATTCCAACCTGGCACAGAGGTATCCAGAAGAAACTGAAGTCAGGAACTTCTGGGCTAAATAAAGGCTGATTTTCAGGCACATTTGCAAAAGCAGAAAGCGAAACAGTAGATCGTCTTAAGATCCCTTAATAAAACATAATGGAACTTTTGAAGGATAAAAGTGAGGAAGATTAAGAGTAATGGTTAAAATTAGCAGGAATCATCGGCTTTTTCTTTTTACTGGGAAGTGAATTGCAATACAGAAAAGAAAAAGGAAAATGGAAAGAAGAAGTAGAAGGGAAACTCAGACAGGCTTTGATGTGGACACTTGAAAGAGCAAAATTAAATTGCATTTTAGAGCTGCAGAGGAAACTGACTTGTTTTACCTTACAGCATTGCCCCCCAACGTTTCCTGGAGACCAGTATTACACATGATAGCCACAATTAGGTCAAATATTCAATGTGAGTTCCTTATTTATTTGTTTGTTTACTGTGCTGGTCCTGGCCCTGAAACTCAAGAGTCTGGGAGCTCTCCATCAGCTTTTTTGCTCAAGGCTGTTGCTCTACCTCTTGAGCCACAGCTCCACTCTGGAGGTAATTAGAGGTAAGTCTCAGGGACTTTTCCTGCCTGGGGTGACTTTGAACCGTGATCCTCAGATCTCAGCCTCCTGAGTAACTAGGATTACAGGCGTGAGTCACAGGCACTTAGGCAGCGTTCCTTATTTTTTGCTTATTAATTATCAAACTTGATTCAAGACAAATCTTATCTATTTATGGCATATACTTATTTTTCTTTCTTTCTTTTTCATTCTAGGCTAGAGAAGACAGCCCAGTCTTGGTGGAAGCTATTTTACTTTGTGTGTGGGGGGGGGGGGGGGCGGGGAGAGGTTATTCAAACTTAAGGGCACACTGGCACAAATCAGCCAGCCGAACGCAAACAATCCACACCTTGGGGAAACAGTTCACTGCCACCCAAGTAAACACAAGCACCTATTAGTCACCTACTCAAAACGGCCAGAAATGGCCCACGAGAGACCAAGACTATCAGAAAAAGAAGCATGCTACTTTTAAAATCTTATTCTTCATTATCACCAACATCTACCATAGAAAAACAAAACAAAAATGAAAACAAAAACAAAAACATCGCTGGCATGGGTCACCTCATAGCGCTCCTAGATTTTATGACCAACACCTGACTCACAGAACCATCTAGATGCAAATGAGGATAATAATACTTTCTGTGAAAAAGTGACTACATGACACTCAGCTAGCTGTTCCTAAAAGGAGAATTCCACCAGAATGGAATGAAGATTGTTCACTCGGCAGGTGGGCGGGATGTGGCTATGGGACCTTTATTGTTTATGACATTCTCATCCACACTGCCAGCCACTCATCTAAAGCCTTCAAGATGTTTTCTAAACACACATCTCTGAATCATAATGTGAATTCCATTTACTGAAAGGCAGAAACTTTTAATATAACAGGGGAACCTATTTAATGACTTATGCTTTTATATCTTATAACATGCTTTCAATAATTTCCTTTGAACCACCCTGTTATTAACTCAGCGCTATGAACATATATTTTCAATCATGTTATATGTTTTTTTTAAAAATTTTCTCCAGCTATGATTTTATTATAAAAATGCTCCAGTTAGCTTAGGTAGCCAAAGCAACAGCCAGAAAAAAACAACAGCCAACACCCATTTACCTCTTTCCCTCTTCCACTAGTCAATTCCCTGAGAACATAGTTTCTAATTTTCGTGTGTGTGTGTGTGTGTGTGTGTGTGTGTGTGTGTGTGTGAGACGATACTAGGTCTTGAACTCAGGACCTGACCACTATCAGCCCTTTTCACTCAAGGTTAATGTTCTACCATGTGAGCTACTCAGCCTCCTGAGTAGCTTGGATTACAGGCACAGGCCACCAGTGCCCAACTGCAATATTTTTGAAAGCCTTTAGAAAGAATAATGACTACTTTTATACTTAAATGTCTTTAAATGGTAGTTTTATTTTTTTCTAATATGAGAACTATTTCTATTAAGTATTTATCATGTCTTTTTTTTTTTTTTTTTTTTTGGCAGTTGTGGGGCCTGAACTCTGGGCTTGGGTGCTGTCCTCAGCTCTTTCAGCTCAAGGCTGGTGCTCTACCACTTGAGCCACAGCACCACTTCCGGCTTTTTTTTTGTCAGTCTTGGGGCTTGAACTCTGGTCATGGGCGCTGTCCCTCAGCTCTTCAGCTCAAGGTGAGCACTTTACTGCTTGAGCCATAGCGCCACTTCCGGTTTTCTAGTGGTTTATTGGAGATAAGAGTCTCATGGACTTTCCTGCCTGGGTTGGCTTTGAACCACAATCCTCAGATCTCAGACTCCTGAGTAGCTTGGATTACAGGTGTGAGTCACCAGCGCCTGGCTAACCAGCTTTTTCTGCTTTATGTGGTACTGAGGAATCAAACCCAGGGCCTCCTGCATGCCAGGCAAACACTCTACCACTGAGCCACCTTCCTATCCCTTATGTCTTTGATTAAACTGGAAGTAACTTTTATTTCTAAGCTATTCCATAGTATACTATGACAACTGAAAACCAATTGTCCTAAGTATCTCAATTACACTTGTAGTAATTGTTGATCATTATAACAACAGGAGAGAGGTTCTTACAGACAATCTACAATACTTGGAAATAATGGAAAATAGAAATGGTTACAATGAGCCAAGATTCCTTTGTGCCCTAATACTTGAAAATAGGCTAAAGGAAGGAAAAGAAGAGCGTACACACAACCACTGAATTGACCCAATAGTTTCCTTGAAATTTGAACATGATTAGGATCTGAAGTGTTACATGTGCCTAATCTGTACTCCCAAATCACCAAAAGAAACACAGCAAGGAGTCATACTGTCTTCTGTGATGCTGGCATTATTTCTTCATAATTTGCCTTAAGAAGGTAAGCTAGCTCAAAATTATACGCCCCTTAAAACCACTGAAGTGGTCAACTGACATCTGTCCCTTGTCACAGAAAGCACCATTCTTAAGTTAAAAGCTTCCATTAAATCAATTTTTGATTGTCAAATAGAGAACCCCTATTATACACTCTGGGTTTTCATTGTGGTCTTATCTTTTCACAGGGTAGTAAAACTCCAAGCGATTTCTTTTTTGAAATTCACATGTCATATTTAGCTTGTTGCAAACAATTCTTCCAGTGATTTAATCATAGAAAGCTTAAAAAACATAAAATCTCAGACATATATTTTTAAAAAGGTTTGGTATAGCAAGAACAGTAAGAGAGACCAGCATGACAACTGCTGGAGGAAAGCCTTGTGGTTCAAGTACACTTTTAACAGGCACCTACCTCTTCCGCTCCGACCCACAAACCTGAGGTCATTGAATCTTGCGACTTGGTTCTTCATGGCCGCAGTAGCATTTCTCAGCTCGGCCGAGTAGTTTTCATCATTGCCTGCCATCACCGTGACCAGCGTGCCATCTGGAACGTCCCCCAGCGCCACCACCTAGACGCCCGCCAACGGGCAAACACAGACATCAGGAAAGTCACACAAACGCCCCTCTGCTGACTCCGCCACTGTTCAGAAATGGTGTTCAGTGATACTGTTTTAGTTTTCAAAGGAATAATAATCGCAACTCACACAACACAAAAGTGTTGAAGGCAAAGGTTCATTTTTAACTGTGTTTTATATATAATATAATATAATATAACTTTTGTACTCTTTCTTTCCTTTATTTATTTTTTTTTCTTTTTTGGTGGGATTGAACTCAAGTCCTTGGGCTTGCTAGGGAAGTACACTTCCACTAAGCTATGCTATCCCCACTGTAACTAAATATAAAATTTCAAATAGAGAAACACTAAATCATCTAATCAAACCATACAAGGATGTATATAGCACTGAAGGAACAATAGGAGAACTTTGAAAAGCTGTGCCAGCTCATGAATGCAATCATATCTTCTTAATCCTTCATATGTGAGAATAGAATGTCTTAGGTTTCCAAGTCTATTACACAACCTATCTTTTAACAGAACCTCAGCTTGACTTTTGTTTAACCTTATTGCTGCTAAAATTAAGTCATACCTTTGCTGATCATTCTTAAATGACTTGACCTGTCCCCTGTTAGCCCATTTTTGGTATACTACTTGCTTCCATTAGATTGAGTTTCCTTAGCCATGAACTCCGGCATACAAGGGAAAAAAAAATCAGAAGTGTGCTTCTTGTTTGTTATTTAATTACAAACTTGAAAAAAGAAGAAAAAAGGGCTCCCGTTTTAACCATTCTTCCCAAAGCAAAGATACAGCAGAGTAGGACTTTTATACCTCTGAGTTCCTCATAAGTGACTAAGATGGACTCCAAATTCAGCTAATCTTTTGAATATAATTGAAAAAGTATGAGTTTGTTATCAGGGCTACATGAAGGAAACTGGTAGATAAACATTTTTATCATATTCAGGAAATAAAGTAATAACTTCAGGGTAAAATGCCCTAACCTGAAGATGTTGTATGCAATACCCACTATTTGGCCATCATTTGACTCTTTTTCTTTTGTTTTTGAGACAAGAATCTTGCTATTCAGGCTAGGCTGGTTGCGAATTCACAATCCTCTTGCCTTAGTCTCCTGGGTACTAAGATCACATATGAAAGCTACAATGCCCGGTATTACTAGATTTTTCTAGAAACGATTTTTGTAGTCTAGATGTTCATGACTAGCTTTATTTCCATTGTTTCAATTTCAAAGTGATAGAATTTCAAGCCAACATTCTCCAAGTCATATATGTTCCCATCATCTCTGATCTTCTTTTACAATTTCTCAGTCTGTAGTGAAATTTGTGTTATTTGTTTCGTTTATAGAAGCACATTTTGGTGATTGTTTCCAAACTGGCAACAGAGAAGCATTCCTTAACTTACCCGTTACTATTCCTTCCGCTATTTTCTGCCTCCTGAATTTTACCTTGCTACATAATATCTGTGGGGGAAGATTTTTTTGTTTTTTAGTCCGCTTTCTCTTTATAGAAATGAAGCTTCAGATTCAGTTGCTTTTTTTTTTTTTTTATCAAAGAACATCAGTGCCCGGCACTTGGTTAGGACCAGTTCCCTATGTCCTGCAAATGACTATCTGTCGGTATTTGCAGTGGCTGCTGCAGTTTCTGGGTTCTAAAAATCAAGACAAAATGAATCCTGTCTCTCTGAAAGGTGCACACCGTCTGGATCTTGAGACTGCCCTGGGGTGATCTACTCTCTTGGTATTAAGTAAGCATTTTATTTTTTAAAAATACTTTTATCCAACTTGCTCTGTGAAACAAAGTCTGCCATTTATCTCCATTTTCAATCCTTGTATTCCAATTGTTTCCTATGAAACAATTTTAAATGAAGCACTGTTCTCTATTCTCTAAGCAGCAATCTCTAATTGGGTATTTAATTCCCATTATATGTGGGTTTGATATCATTTCACTAAGTATATAGTAAGATGACCATTCTCTTTTGTTTCTAAGGAATTATGTAAATAAATCTTGTTCATCAGCTAATTGATTCCTGTTACTTTTTCTTTCTATTCTAACCAGTTGTACTTGCTGTAGCCCACTCTTTTTAACCTCTAAATTTTTTCCTATTTCTTGTTGTTTTTACTCTTTCACTTCCCTCTGTGAAATGAGTCCACAGTGTTGAAATACCCTTCCTGAACACTTATTTTTACTTCCTCATCCTCCTCTCCTGCTGCTAACCCAGGCCTTTCTACATTCATTCAACATTCAGTAAGTATACAGGGGAGTGGATCATCAGCTTGTCTTTCACACTGAATAACTCATTGTTGAGGCTGGCTCTATAAAGGAGTTAAAATAAACAAATCTTGTTTTTATAACCACCCAAATCATCTTGAATCACCATCCCCCTCCTGCTGTTTTCCTCAGCGTCCTAAGTCTGGCCCTCTCTTCTTATCTCTCCAACACTACCCTCATTAGTGATTTGGCAAATTCAAGAGAACCTTCACCAAGCAGAAACAAATATAGCATAAAATTCTAAGGGCCAAATCCAAAAAGGCTGTTAGTGTTGGAATTTAAGGGTTTCAAAAATTGAGTTTTAACTTCCACTCCTTCTATTTCTTGGAATGAATTGGGAATTATACACCTGGATACTCAGATAGCATTTACTCATTTTTTTCATATGTACTGAAGGATTTATTTTTTTTTTTTTTCTAGCAGGGAGAGGGAATAAAATTAAATCCAGGGAAGTTTCATGAATAATGTATACCATCAAATTAACAAGTATACTTGGGTTACGTTAAACTTTTTTCTTTTGTAGTTTAAATGAATACATCTGCTAATTTGATGTGTATTTTGCCATTGAGAGGTGATAAAAAGAGAATGAAAAATATCTGACTTCAAATAGAAAAAAAAAGAAGCCATGGGGATGAAAAGCTATAAACCATAGGTAAAGGAACACAAACATTTACATTTTAACACAGACCAAACAGACAAGAAGGGACTTGCTGGCCAAAGATATCTCATTATTTTGTTTAACTTTTTCTGTTTTTAAAGTTGGGCAGAATATCAACTCTCCTCTATAGTATATGGATCTCCCAATATTACTTTGGGGTTCCTTAGACACAGTTTCAAGTGACATTTTTCAATTAGATTTGAAATTACAGTTACAATTCATTTACTTCAAAACCCACAGTCTTCCAGTATTTTGAAGAAGGCTGTTAGTGGAACAGAAGTCAGCCAAGATGACAGGATGACATTCAGTGCCTATCCAGGGACAACGATCTAACTACCAGGACCTAAACCAACTGTAATATTATAGTTTCACAAAAATTTAGCCAAACAGTTTTGGAAGCCGCTTCGATAAATTGGGGGTAACATAGAAAATTTAAGATTTTATTTCCCCAGTAGTAAGTCTCTCCTCCATTAAAATAAAAGCCTTGTTCCCTGAAGGAAGAGGGCCAGAGACAGGTTGGGGGTTCCAGATAAGCAATTAAGGTATTTTAATCTATGCTAAATTTCAAATCACTTCTGAGTTTTGAAGATTAAGGCAGAGATTTATACAGAATTTCTGAAAACTTCTAAAAAAAAAAAAAAGGGCACTTAAGTACTCTATTCATCATCATCAGACTTTGTCCCTGTGTCATATTGTTCGCTTCTGTAGCATATGGACTGTAATGAATTCCTTAGGGATTAACTTCCTAAAGAGATTGTCTGAGACTTTTTGAAAGTCCAAACTTTAAAGGTATAATTTCTGTAGAAACTCTAAGGAGGTGTCAGGTAGGTAGATAAGTATACGACAGAGCCAACAGAGCCAGGAATGCACCGTGAATCTAGCCAGAATACAAGGAGGAGTGGGGGTTGAGGTTGAGATTGCTTTTCTTTCCAGACTTCACTTTTGTTATCACCCTCAAAGAGCTGCTTCCCCTCCAGAAGGCAGGGAGCTAGGTTTCCTTGACAGGGGTAGTGACAGATACCTATCACAGTGTTCTGATTTCTCTACACTGGAACTTTTTCCAAGGGATGTACACCTAGTCTACATATTAACACTAAGTAAAGCCAATTAAGATCCTTCTTTTTAAAAAGTGCATTGTCCAGGTTAAAAGGAAGCCTCTATATTATTCCCGTTTCTGCTAAAAGGAATTCTCTGATGGTTTATAAAAGCCATTGTGCATAGTTTTCCACTCCTTTAGAAGAAATGAACACTTTCGTGTAAGTAGCTCAAGCTTTTTTCATTGATTCAGTTCTGAAGATTTCTTCTAGATCATTTCTTGCCTTGATAGATTGGGGTTTGGGTTCCCGGGCAGAGGATGGAACTCAGAAAATGACCCTGAGTTTTTCCCCCAGGAAGCTCCAAATCCCTTAGCAGAAACCTGGCTTAAATGGCCCTGGGCTGAGCCTGTCTTTTCCCTGTTTCTATCTGACAGTGACCCCAGAGCCCAGACTTGTCAGGTTCCCTTTCAGACAGGCTGAGCAGAGAATGTCCACCAGCTGAGTCTGTTTATGTAACCTCTACTTAAGATTAGAACCATGTAAAAGAAATGGCCTTCCAAACCCAGATCTAAATAAATGGAAGAAGGGAAGGAAAAGTCAAGTGGCTACTCCCTTTATCCTCATTCTACCCCCCTTCTCCTTAAACTGCTTTCAAACAATAACCCAGTGGGGGTGAAAATGAGGAAACTCTCAGGGCAGAGCTGACTGTAAATTATATTTCTGTTGACTCAAAAATCACTAAGTTTGAAGAGAGCTTAAAAATAAAGAACCTGGACAGCATCCCCCCCCTCCAAAAAAAATGAACATTATTCATTGTAATTAGATTAAGACTCTGTAGAGGCCTGGGGACTATAAAAAGCTTACATTAAATTATATTCCCCCCTCCCTTAAAGGGGACAATTATTTAACCACTTTTAAAAAAAAAAGAGCAGCCTATCTTTACAGCCCGAATCACCTGCCTTCATTAGCCTTTCAAATAATCAGCAAATGACCCAGCTGATTGTTCTAAAAGAAAAGAAAAAAGCAAAAGCAAGCTGTATTTTTAAGCCCTCGGAAAACAACAGAACACACGAACCCCGCTGCAGAAATTAAGTTTCTCCTCTGGCTGCCAGAGTAGTAGGGTGGTTGTTTAAAAGCGCCCCGGGGTTGTTTATCTATCACGTTTGGAGGCCAAGGTTTTTCAAGACGGCTCAAAACGGGGGTTCCAGCAGCAGGGAAAAGTGCACAGAGACCCAGCGGGCGGACCCAGCTGAAGCCACAGGTTGCAAGCCGGCCCCCGCTGCGGAAAGGCTGGCTTGCGTGGACCTTCGGAAAACACCTGGTCACTCTTCGCTGCCCAGCACACACCCTAGGTGAGCCAGCGAGAGATACCGTTCAGGGGTTCCAGGAAAAGAAACAGGACTTGCTACTTGCGGCTGCTGGCAGGAGGAGGTTAGACAGAGGCTGGCAAAACTCAGAATAACTTGGACACACTTAGCCACAAGCTTCCCCACGCCTGCGGTGGACTTTGGACAGGCTCGTTCTAATCGGGCAGTAACAAAGAAAAGAGGTGGGAGAGGGCAAAAAATAAATCTCTGGACAGTTTCCCTTGCTACGCTTGTTTGCTTGTTTGTTTATTTGGTTGGTTCTTGGCCCCAACGCATAAAAGAATCTCTATTTTATTTCCTGATACTTTCATCTAGGAGACACAAAGTGGTCGGGGTGTTATGGGGGGGGGGGGGAAGGGCCCCCTGTGGAAGCTTGTCCCCCTGGCTAGTTCATAACTTTCTTCTCTCCTGGTGTCAAAGGTAAGGCCTTCGCAGAGAAGGTCCCCATTGGCTTGGCCCCCTGTGGATGTCTTGGGGGACAGGCTGAGTTCTTTTTATTAGGATGATTATTTCTTAGGAGTATCGTGATTATTTAGCCCTCCGTGGCTCGTCCCAGGGCGGGGCCCTCCGTAGGGTCTCCAAGGCAACGCAGCAGCATCTCCCCGCTTCCCCGGCTCGGGGAGAAGGGTCCAGGAGCCCCCAGCGCGCGCGTGCCTAGCACCCCAACCCCACGGCCTAGCCCCTTGCTCTCCGGGGATCACCCCACCCCCGCTTCCCCGCGTCCCCCGCCCCCCAACCCCGCCACCCCCGGGTACCTTGAAGGCGATGGGCAGGGTCTTGTTGCAGCGCCAGTGCGTGGGCAGCACGGAGCAGAGGAAGTTGGGGCTGTCGGTGCGCACCAGCTCGCCGGGGTGGTCGGCCAGCACCTCCACCATGGTGCGGTCGCCGCTCCTCAGTTTGCCGGCCAGGGCGGCGCCGGCGTCCGGGGCGCCCAGCGGTAGCGGCTCGCTCATCTTGCCCGGGCTCAGCGCGGTGGAAGGCGGCGTGAAGCGGCGGCTCGTGCTGGCATCTACGGGGATACGCATCACAACAAGCCGGTTGAGTAGGGACCCTGCGAACAGAGCCTGCCGGAGGGCGACAGGGACGCGGGTCTTCAGCCAGCAGCTCCCGGGACACCCACATACAAGGTCGGCGGGAGGAGGAGAGCTAAGTTTCTAACAGCCCGGGACTGGGGCAGTTTTGTTTTGTTTTACTGCTGGTCGGGCCTCAGAGACCCGAAGAGGCCAGGAAGGGCTCCTCCACACCACCGAGCGCTGAGTGCACGAACAAGTGAGCCACCGGAATCCGGAGTCTGTTTGCTGAGCCTTGCTTTGGAGAGTTTTAAGTTCAGTCTTTGGCTATGACACAAGTTCCCAGAGGTAAAATTCCCAAACACTTTTAAAATATGATTATTATTATTATTATTGCAGAGAGCAAATACGTGATTTGGAAGTTCCAGTAGTTAATTGCCTGTAGTTTTTTTTTGCAAGTGATGTTAGCCTAAAGACCCAACAGCACACCACACACAAAAAAAGAGCGTCTTCCACACAAGACGCCTCTTTTAACATTAAAAAAAACCGTCTTCCGTCCTCCAAAACAAGAACCGAGATTTCCAGAAGCTGTGCTAATAATGCATGTGCTCGCATACATATATAAATATATACATATGCTCTACTTCATAAAATATTTACAATACAATCTGTGGAGAATTTAAACACAACAGAAATCCATTACTGTTAGTTGCACAATTTTTTTTCCCTCCTAAGTAGCCTTGAAAGTCAGCTTCAGTAGTTGGAAGAGGACTGGCTTAGAATTTCTTGTCATGTTTTCTCAATAAATTCTGGCCAAAAAAAAAAAGATCAGTGCAGGAAGTTAGCTTTTTCAAAGATCTCTAGCTAGTCTTTAAAAAAACAAAAAAATAAAGTCCCAGTCGATGACACTCAGGGTACAGCTCTCCACATCTGAGAGGGAACTAGGGCTTGGGGGTTGTTGGTTGAGTTGTGGCCGATCCTGTGGTTTGGAGAAGCTGAGCTGCAATCGAGTCACACAAACACGCAGACACGCACTCTTCAGAAGCCAGCCACCATCTACACCGGTGAGTCAGCCTGGACCCGGGCAGCAAGCGCGATGATCTTCCTCCAACGTCGCCCCAGAGGCGGCTGGTGAGCTGCCCCCGATGCCCAAATAATACCCACTAACACCGCTTAACCGCAGCAGGTGGAGCAGGCCTGGCGAGCCAGGCAGAGGCTCAGCCGCCCAGCAGATCGCCGCAGACCCGGCGGCTCGGGTTACACGCGCGCGCGCACACACTCCCACGCGCACTCTGCCACGCGCACATGCAACTTTGCGGCTCGCCTAGGACCCCCCCCGCCCCCCACCCCCAGCGCACTTTCTTTCCCGTAGTTGTCAGAGGAAAACAATCGCCGGTGGGGTGGAGGGGGGGGGGAGTTCACAGTCAGGAAAGAAGTTGAAGCATCCAAGGCAAGGAGTCAGTTCATTCAAGAAGTAAGAAAGGAAAACAAAAACAAAAGTCCCACGCAGGTCAAAGGAGGAGCAGCAAAGGTTGACTATCTTGGTGGCGTGTCCCCAAAGTGCTCCAGGTAGAGGTGCCTGTCGCATGCACCGGGCCGGGCAGCGTGGTGCCCTGGCTGGGTCCGGCCGCGGGGCGCCCGTCCCGCCCGCGCCCGCTGGCTCTATGAATGAGAGTGCCTGGAAATGAACGTGCTTTTACTGTAAGCCCGGCCCGTGGAATTCCATTCCCTCAGCTCGTTTGCATAGGGGCGGCAGGCAGCCAATCACAGGCCTTTCCGGTATCAGCCTGGGCGCGGTTCTCGGCTCCGCGCTCCTGGAATTGGTCCGCGCGCCCCCGCGCGCTACTGTACGCAGCCCCGGCTGGCCGCGGCCCTGGGCCGCTCCCGCGCGCCCCGCACATCCACACCCACGCGGGGGCCCTGCGTAAACACGCACGCGCCCGCCCGAGGCCCCGCCCGGGTGCAGACCCCGCTGGGGTAGCGACCCGCCTGGTTGCCCCGGTCTCTTCCCCGGGGAGTTGCAATGCGCAGCGGCGCCACGGGTGGCCACGGGGGAGGCCCGGGAAGAGGAGGAGGAGGAGAGGAGAAAGGCCGGGCCTGGGGAGGACCCAGCCCGCGAGCTGTAACCAGGGCCCAGAGACAAGCTGCCGGGAGGCGCCCCAAGCGTCTGAGAAACTTAGCTGTCATCGCCGGGACCCGGGTTGGAATCCCCCGAATGGGCCCCGGCGGGTGGTCGAGCCACTGGGGCCCGGGAAGGAGCGAGGTTCGGCCGCAAGGGGGCCCGAGGGCCCCGGGGCCGGGAGGGAGAGCGGCTCGGCTTGTTCCCAAGGCCGGGTTGGCGGCTGCCAGGAGTCATTAAGATCCAGGATTTTCGTGACTTTTGAAAGCAAGCGCTCGTGGTGTCTTTGTTTTAATGAATGCTTTTGCGGGGCGGCCGGCAGCGGAGTTTCTAGTTAAGAGGAGACCTCCCCCCTCCGCAAAGAAAGAACCGGGAACTGGAAGAGAAAGTTGAACGCATCCGATCGCCCGTCAACTCCAGGTCCACAGAGTTGTGGGCTTGCCACAGGGCGGACGGAAAGCCGTGGCGGGGCGCACACGCCGGCTGCGGGCGGGAAAGCGGACCCCCTCCCCCCGATCGCCCCACTGCGTGCCCAGGACGACCCCCTCCCGCCACCACCCCCCCATCGTCCAAGCCTGGCTATCTCCCTCCAGCTACCCGGAAACTGCCGGGGCGCTCGACTACACTCCCCTTAACCCCCACCCCGGCCTGGCAGCCGAACCCCCGGGCTCGCGCCTGTGCGCGCACACACGGCGGGGAACTTCCCCCTGCGCCCGTCCCCCCGGCGCCTGGGCATTTTCGCGGAGCTTAACGGGCTCCGCCCCGGCCTGGCCCGAGGCCCACTCCCGCCTACCCCCCACATCCGGTGAGACTGGCACCCTTACTCCCCCCACCACCACCCCCGGGCTGCCCATTCCCTCCGGACCCCTGCCTGCGATCCCTGGAGGTTTCTCACCCACTCCATGCAGCTCCCCGCTCCCCTGGTGCTCCGGACACCACCGAACCCCTACTCTCCATGCGGGGGCCCCTCACTTGTCCCCGTGGCTCTCTCATTTCCCCGGTCCCCTCACGTGCACGCGCGGCTCGGGGGCCGGGGCCGCCTCCCCGGGACCTGGTGGAGGAGGGGGACAGTGGAGGATCGCGCCTGGAGGCCTTTCCCTCGGGAGTTGGGGCCCCGTTTCCTTCGCCCCAGGGCCGGATCGGTAGAGGCTGGTGAGCTGCGTGCGAGGAGCCGCTGGGGGTGGGGTGGGGGTGGGGAAAGAAGTGTTTCCCGGGCCTCCGGGACCCACAGGCTCCGGCGGACGCCAGGGGGCAGCAGCGGCCCTCGCTCGACGCCCCGGGGCGCCTGGTGGCCACTCCACGCCTAGCGCGCGCGCGGCTCCGCCGTCCTGTCTGAAGACCTGCGGAAGGCTCTTTGGGGAACTTGCATCTGGAGAGAAACGACAGCCAGAGACGGTCAGGGCCAATCTCAGCGCTGGTGGCCGAGGGATCCGGGCTCTCCACACGCACTGGAGTGAGACATCTCTCCAAAGCCCGGTTGCCCCGGCACCGGGGTCAGTGGGAGTGGGGTCCCGGGTGAGGTGGGGGGAGGCCTGCGGCGCCCGGCGCGCTGGGATAAACACACCCAGCGTCCTGCCACCTGCGCTCCCTCTCCGCCTGGGCGCCTCTTCTTCCCAAAGCCGGCCAGCCCTCTCCCTCCTCTTGCTCCCCAAACTCGGCCACACTCAGCTCAGGTCCTGAGGTTGTTGGCGAGGGGCCTCCAGGAGAAAAACTCTTCGAGCGTTTCCTTTACAATGATGCTGGAGAAAAAGCTATTTAGAAACGTTCCCACCTTGCTCGTGTGTGCGGCCGAGCATCGTGCTCCCCGCCTGCCCTACCGGCCGCTCTGTCCAGCCCCGGGTGGAGGGGGGCGCTTCCTGTGTCCAAAGTCACTGCCAGACCAAAGGCGAGGTCGGAGCCAGTGGAGCCTGGTGCTCCCCGCTTGCACATGTTCCTTCATCTAAGGCCTCATCGAGGGCTGGGGGGTGGGGGGTTCCCCTCCCAAAGGCACCCCAGGGACCCCTGGGGACCACCATGGATCTGGAAAATACGATAGTGATCATAGTGAACCCGGAGTCCGGGGGAAATAACGGGTCCTTCAGAAAGGTGCAAGACGATTCCTTTAGGGGCCTGAAGCGGTTTGTGCCTAACATCGGGAACCCGGAGGGCAGCAGGGACCGGTTTCCCGGGCCGGGGTGCTTTGGGCGATGCAGCTTACGTGTTTCAGCCTAGAAAGAAATTCCTAATCCTGTACCCGGACGATAAGGAAAAGAAAGGAAAGGAAAGCTGGACTGGCGCGCCCCGCGTCCCCCCAGGCCCGCGCCCCGTGCAGGCGCCCGGAGCGGGCGCACGCTGCGCGCTCCTCCCCGAGGACCTGAACCGCCCGGGGGTTCCTTTCATCCAAAGAGTTTTTTACAGAGTTAATCCGGACCCCGAACCTCACTCGGGGAAACGCGGGATTCCTTCCCACCCCGAGCGGATCTTTGGAGGGCATCAATTCCCGCTTCACTCTCTAAGAACAGAGCGTGCGTGTGCGTGCGTGCGCCAGGTCCACTGGCTAAAAATCAACAGGATAAAGGGCCCCCGGGCCCCCACATTAGGGAGTGCGGTAGAAAGGTCCTTCCAAAAGAGTGGCAGCCCCTCCGGGAAGGAAATGTGAACAGGTCCCGAGCAGGACTGAAATAGAGAAGTTCCTACCATGAAGTTTTTTTTTTTTTTTTTTTTTTTAAAGAAAAATCGCTAGGAGGTAACAATTCCCCTAATAGAACCATCACAGGCCACGGACTTTTTTTAAAATTTCCTTCGACAACTTCTAGCACTATCTAATTCGGAAGTGTTCTCAGAGAACCTCTAAATGAATTCCTCCAAAAGTCTCCCCCAAATCAAGTTCGCTCAAAAGTG